GGGCTGGGGAGAATTCTGAAGTAGCTTCAGCCTCCCCCTCGCCTCCCCAAAGCCCCCTCCCGTAGGCTCCCGCAGTGAGGGAGGGAGTGGGGCAGGAGCAGGTGCTACATGCAGGACAGAGCCATAAGTGGCTCATCCAGAGGGCATGGGGAAGTGGATCCTGCCACTGTGCACACCCTGGAAGGGCATGGGGGGGACATGTGCTCCCAGATCTGTGTGCAGGGCGTGTTGGGGCCGGGACCAGGCCAGACTGCACTCAGGGCAGGTGGTGGTGGCACTTGGAGGGGGGCTACAGGAGGGGCTGCAGCCTCTCCAGAATTTACCGTAGCCTCCCACCCCAACCCTCTCCCAGTACCACCAGCACCCACCCCGAGTGCAGCACGACCCAACTCCCCAGCTGGGAACAGCCTGGTGCAGCCCCAGTCTGCCCCACGCGGAGCCAGCGGCACACACCCCCCATGCTCTCCCAGGTGTACACGTAATGGCGGTGCTGGGAGGGCAAGCCAAGTGGAAGGGGGCTCACACGCAGCAGCCACTGCCACCACAACCACCCACCGCCGGCCCCCTTAGCTACGCACAGAGCCACTTTACCGTGGTCAGTCACATGTGTGGCTCCATTGGCCGCTGATGGGCCCCACACCCAACCAATCACACACTGCTGGGGACAGGCACAGAGCACACTTCCTCCCCCACCATTCACACCCTCGCAGCTCTGTGGGAAGGGCATGGCTGCAGAGCTTCCTCGCCATCAGTTATTGGCTGAGGGCAGTGGCCCAGCGGCCAATCAAGAGAACGAGCTGGGACGGAGGGTGGAAAGGTGCCGCGATGTGTTATGTGGGGCTGGCAGCATCCTGCACACCCCTCCCCCAAGTAAGAAATGAAGTGTGGGAACGTGCCAGGAGAGATGCTGCTGCTGCGCCCTGGGGCGCACTCTATTCCCACCTGTGCTCTGTCCCCACTCACCCACCTGTGTGTATCCCCTACAACCTTTCTAAGTACCTCTAGGGGTACACGTACCCCCGGTTGACAACCCCTGGGTTAAAGCATTCAATTGGGAGTGGAAGATATGACTTCTGTTCCCTGCCCTTTTGGATCACAAGCTGAATGAATCAACAATGTGATGCTGCCACAACAAAAATGCCCATGCAATTTTGGGATGCATCAGAGAAGCATTGTATACAAGACACAGGAGGTAACAGTAACATTTTAAAAAGGATGTGGAGATGTTAGAGAGAGTTCAGAGGCAGGCAACAAAGATGACAAAAAGTAGGGCTGTGCAAAGCTTCAAGTGCTGATTCGATTCAGAGGAGATTTGGCCCAATTTGGTGACTGAATCTCTGAATCCAAATTGAATCAGGAGACCAAAAACAAGGTCCAAATCAATTCAGAAAAGATTCAAAGAGATTCGGAGATTCAAACAGTCCCCACTCACCACCACAAGGAGCTGGACCCAGACTCTGCACCGGTAAGTAGGGGGTGGGGGGCTGGAGGAGGGGGGAGGGGATCATGGGGTCCCCAAGCCCCCGTGAGTGCCCCCTACTCCTGCCCACTCTCCCAGCCCCATCAAAGGCTTCCCCACCTGGCCTCTACATCCCAGCTCTTAAAAAAAAAAAAGAAAGAAAAGCCCTGCACTCACCAGCTCCTCCCAGGCACGGGGGAGGGGGTAATCCCCACTGCCCCACACTGCATGCAGGGCTCTACCATGAGCCCCCATCCCTGCCTGCCCTCCCAGCCCTGTCAATGGCTGCCCTACCTGGTCCCAGCATCCCAGCTCTTAAAAAGCCCCGCACTCACCGGCTGCTGCAGCGGCTGTCTGGGCTTCTGGGGGCTCATGGCAGCGGGGAGGCTCATGCAGCATAGGGCGGGGGGGGCAGCAGAGATCATGCCCCCACCTGGCAGGAGCTGGTGATCACAGGGCTTTAAAAATTAGAAAAAAGAGCTGGAGCACTGGGGCCAGGTGGGGCAGCCATTGATGGGGCTAGGAGAGTGGGCAGGGGGTGGGGCCTGTTTGATTTGGAGATTCACCTAATTCAGCAGTGGCTGAATCTCCGAATCAAATTTGCCTGAATCAATTTGGGACAGCGATTCAAATCACCAAATCAAGTCATTGTCCCCTGAATCGGCCAAATCCGAAGCAAATATTAACCGCTTTGCACAGGCCTAATAAAAGGATTTGGAAAGCAAGTCGTATGAGGAGAAGCTGAAGGAGCTAAGCATGTTCAGCTTGCAGAAAAGGTGTTTATGAGGGGACATGATAACAGTCTTCAAATACTTGAAGGCCTGCCATAAAGAACAAGGAAAGCACCTTTTCTCTTTTGCTGCAGGGAGAAGGACACAGACCAATGACTTAAAGCTGCAGCAAAATAAGTTTAGATTGGATATCTGGAAGAACGTCTTCACTGTTAGAACACTGAAACAGTGGAACAGACTACCTAGGGAAGCTGTGGACTCTCCATCAGTGGAGGTGTTCAAGAACAGGTTGGACAGTCACTCGTCAGGGATAAACTATGTTATACTATAGGTATTTCCTATTCCTTTGGGCTTTGCTTTTCTTTGCTGCTTTCCCCCCTTCTGCTATATGTGCTAGGGTGTTTTTAAGCTTCCTCAGAGGCACTGGGTGTTGGCTACTGTCAAGCCTGGGGACTTTGACTGGGGTATGCCAATGCTTCTGCTGAGACCAAAGCTAGAAGTTCTTGGCTAGAGTGTCTTGCTCCTCCTCTCAGGGTCAGACCAATCGCCGTATTTCAGGTCAGGAAGAAATTTTACCCCATGGTCAGATTGGTACAGATTGTGGGGTTTTTTGCCTTCTTCTGTAGTGAGGGGGCATGGTCCTCTACCTGGGATCCCTGGAGCATAACACTTCAAAGAAGCAGGACATTGGCTGCCATGGTTCCACCATTTTACCCGCGGCAAGTTAGAGTGCTAGGTCTGTGTTATGTCAGGGTTGACAGTACTCTTATGTAGAGTTTAGATTACAGGTTGTAGAAGATGGTTTGGATAGGAATGATTCTATCTTAGACAGGGTGTTAGATTAGATGCCCTCTGGAGGTTCCATCCAGCCCTACTTCTCTATGATTCTCCTCAGCACTAGCTAGTTCTGTGCTGAAGAACTGCATCCAGTTCTGGGCATATTTTAAGATGGATGCAGAAAAACTGGAGGTGGTTCAAAGAAAAGCAGTTAAGATAAAGGTTGAGAAAATTGGGTATATTTAGCTTGGAGAGAGGAGATTAAAAGAGACAGGATAACAGTTTTCAAATATTTGAAAGGCAGCCATAAAGACTACAAAGAAAAATTACTCTCCTTGTCCAAAAAGGACAGGACAAAAGGTAATGAATTTAAACTACAACAAAGGGATATAGGTAGTAGTCTACGGACATAGGCAGACAAGATTTTTTGGGGTAACTCTGTTATCTTTTATTAGATAAACTATTTGAGTTGGTCTAATAAAAGATATCAGAGTTACCCCAAAGAACTACAGCAAAGAGGATTTAGATTAAACCTTAGAAAAAACTCACTAACTATAAAACCAGTAGTACAATGGAACAAGCTGCCTAGAGAAGTTATAGGATACTCATTATTGGAGGTTTTCAAGATGAAGCTGAATAGGCATCTAATGATTTTGAAATGGAAAATCCTGCATCTGTGCAGGGGGATGGAATAGGAGACTTGATGTCCCTTCCAATTCCAAGAATCTAAGATTCAAGTTAAAAGCAAAGAAAAAAATACATAACAAATAATGGTCTAAACCTCTAAAAACCAGTATGTTCTGAGGTATTCAGAATACAACAAAAAAAAAAACCCTTAGTTTCTGTCTGTCTACTGGCAGCCTGAAATTTACTGCTTTCAGGTAAGGAAGAAGTAGAAAGAACAGGGGTATTGTTGTGCTACCTGTAAATCAATTTTCCTGTATCCCATAAAACTTCAAGAAAGTTGAGATTAGTATTTCAATGGGGGTTGTAAGGTTTCTTAGGAGGCAAATATCATTCTAAGACATATAACTAGAAAGGAGGGTGATTTCTACACTCTTATTTTGGTTAGGCCTTAGTTGGAGTACTTCAGTTTTGGGCCCTGCACTTTAAGAAGGATAGATAAATTAGAGAGAGTCCAAGAGAGTGCAACAAAAATGGCAAGAGACTAGAAAAATGACCCATCAAGAAAAAAACTGAAGGAATTTGGGTTTTTCTCTAGAAAAGTGAAGACTGAAGTAGACATCACAATCTTCCCATATATTTAAATATTTGTTTTACATATGTAAATATTTTAACGAAAAGTATAGCAATAAATTGTCCTCTGAATCCACTGAGATTAAGCTGATTACTTCTTGCTCTATTTCTAACAAAAAAGATTTATGTCAGACATCAGGAAAAAGTTTCTAACTAGAAGAACAGGTGAGCACTGGAACAAGGCTACCTACAGAAGTACTGTAACTTTCTTCATTGGAAGTGTATGAGAATAAGTCAATCACCTGTCTGGAGGGTCTTAGTATACTATTCCCACCTCAGGCCCCATCCAGCCCCACATTTCTATGGTTTTATAGTGAAGCCAAACTGTTATCTGAGAGCAGACAAAATTAATGCAAAAAAAGACTGTTCTGCCAGGGGATATTACAACCTTTAAAATTACACAAGATAAATAGCCTTATAAAAACTTAGAGATGAAGTACAAATCAGGAAGGAATAAAGAAGTTTTTATGCAAATTATTTTAATTTCCCCCTTTTCAAATTTCCCAAAGTCATAAATATACCCTATTACATACTGTGCTGGTGCCATCTTAACCCTGAGAAGGCGATGCTTAGCATAACAACCGGGTAATGCTGAAAACCCAGTCCTGTTTTGCTTCATAAGTAGATGTACTTTCCAAGATTTTTAACAGACAAAAGGCTGCTCTTTAAAGAGGACAACTATTCATTCTGTATGGTTATTTTTTTCCATCAAATATCGCAATTCAACACACAAAAAACCCAGTAAAATTAACTACATAAAACAGAATTCTACATACCTTGTTTCTGACACAACAAGTATACGGCACTCCACATGCCAATGGCCCTGGTGCAGAACAATCATGGTATGGATTCTTTGTCCAGTCTTTATAATCCTCTCCACCACAACACTTGAACTTTAAAAATAAAAATAAATAAATCCCGTCTTGACATACATTCCTTTTCTAATACTTGAAAAATAAATAAGAGTATCATGATTAATCTAATGGTAATATTAACAACATTTAGGGTAACAGTGTTCCTCCATGATTTGCTAAACTAGTAAAGTAACAGACACCAAGTCCACTTGTGTTTTCTTGACAGACTGTTGGTCTTTGTTTGGACATAGTGACATTTTTTTTTCTTTGCTGGATTTTAAGCTAGTCATTTTGGATCTGCCTCCTTAAAAGAACAAGCTTGAAATCAAGTTGTACAAAGAAAAAAAAGTCAATATTATTTTACTAATAGGCTGACTGATCCTCAAAACCAATACTTTAAATGTACATTATTCCATTTAACTAAAAGCAGTCACCAGCATTGTTTATGAAGAAAAGTATAAGTTAATTTAACATTAAAATTCACAATCACTGTGAATATACATAACTAATGTGAGAACACACTTTCAAAGGATCTGAACTAAAATAACAAGATTTCCTAATGGTTTGTTTTAGGAAAATCTTTCCATGTTAACTTTGGTTTCAGAAGACAGACCAACATTTCCATAGCAATGTTATAAAACTTATCTTCTATAGCCAAGTTTTTAAAAATGTTGTTATGGTCATTGACATCTATGCCACATACAGGCCCCATTAGCACACTTAAAAATATTTTCTGTTTCTTCTACAGTCACTGAAGTGCACATGAGAATTTTTAACTAACACCATAAATATTTCAACACAGCAGCTTTAAAAAAAGGGCTATGAGTCAACTACATATGTTATTAAGTAATGTTCAGCTGTGACCAGTGCAATCTCTGAATTTAATTACAGGTATTTTTTTCAGTAAGTGTTTCAATTTAAATAAATGCCTTACTAAAGAAGGTGCTTAATCAAAATACTGCATAGCCTTCATAAGGGGACATTCAGGGGCTGAAATCTTTACATTGTCTTCAGTGGGTTTAGAGTGGGCCCTTAGGGCCACAAGTATGGAGGAGTTCAATTTACACTCCATCTATCATTTAAATGTAAGTTGGAACTCCATAGGGGCCCTGCCAGAGTCCAGAGATGACACATGACAACCTATTCCACTGGTAATGGGAGTTGGACTAACACCCCAAAAGACTATAGCTGCTTGGAGACAAAAACTATAATAAAACAACGGCGCTTTACCTTAAACTTGGAGCATTTCTGCACCTAGAAGAGTCAATATGTTAGCTGGACCTGGCTCGCCCAATGTCTGTATAGATCAGACACTTTAGTGGGGCATTTTTGGCACCTTTATCTAATAGCTGATTGAATCAGATATTAGATAAAAGCAGCAAAAGGCCCCGTTGAAGCACCCAATCTATACAGACACGCTGCTTCATTCGGTAAAGCTCAGTTTTCTTTTTTTTTTTCAAATGTCTGCAAGCAGCCTATGTGATTAAATCCTCCTGGACGTGACTTCCCAAGAGACAATCTAGTAAGGCCAACAGGCACTCCCAGGTGGGAGAGTGCCACTGTCTCCCACGCCAAACACAGTGCAACCCAACCCCACCATCAGGAAGAGCCCAGTGCAGCCCCATTTAGATAATTAGACAACACGTGCACTCCCAGGTGGCAGAAGAGAAGCAGGCCAGCCACTGCAAATAGCTGTACGTAAGTTTCTGTATGTAATAGAGCAGGAGTGGGCAAAATGCGACCTGCAAGGCAGAGGCAGCCTGCCAAGCCATTCTATCCAGCCTGCAGGGCCCCTAAAAAATTTAGAAAATTAATATATGTCTGCCCCTGGCTGCCTGTCATGCAGCCCTCGATGGCTTGCTGAAACTCAGTAAGTGGCCCTCCGCCTGAAATAACTGTCCACTCCTGTAATAGAGTGTTCTATATCATAAGCTTCCAGATATTCTAGAATACACTCCAAAACAATTTATTACCAAGGATGACAATGAGGATGTTACCACCTCTTCCATTCTGAGATTGCTTTTAGTTTAACGATTTTCAGGAAAAACAAACCTCCTTTTGAACAAAATCCATTATGTTTTTGAAGTCCAGGTCATCATAGTAATTTTGAATTCCTCTTCGGATATTTTCATTTAAAAAGTCAATTGTCTAGAGGACAAAGGAAAATAAAGATTTATCACTTATTACATATTCTATGACAAGTTAGAAAAGAATCAAGCTCGAATGATAGCTTGAGCTTGTCAGTGAACACAAACCTATACAAATAAACATATTGCATTTGTAGAAGTCATTCATAGAATCATACAAGTAGGGTCGGAAAGGACCTTACAGATCTTCAAGTCCAACCCCCCTGCCAGGGCAGGAGAAAAAAAACAAAAAAAACTGGGCTCAAATGATCCCAGCTAGGTAGGCATCAAGCCTCCTCTTAAAGACCCCCAGGCTAGAAGCCAACACCACTTCCCTTGGAAGCTGGTTCCAGATCCTAGCCGCCCTAACTGTGAAGTAGTTCTTACGGCTGTCTAATTTAAACCTACTCTCCAACAACTTGTGGCCATTATTCCTTGTTATGCCAGGGGGGGCTAGGGGAAACAAGGTCTCTCCCAAACCCTTCTGGTCCCCCCTAGTGAGTTTATAGACAGTCACCAGATCCCCCCTCAGCCTTCTCTTGTGAAGGCTGAACAGGTTCAGGTCCCGCAGTCTCTCATTGTAGGGTCTGCCCTGTAGTCCCCGGATCATGCGGGTGGCCCTCCTCTGGACCCTCTCCATGTTGTCCACATCCCTCTTGAAATGGGGCGCACAGAACTGGACACAATACTCCAGCTGTGGCCTGACCAGCGTCGCGTAGAGGGGGAGGATCACCTCCTTGGCTCTACTCGAGATGCACCTGTGGATGCACGACAAGGTCCGGTTAGCCCTGCCAACCATGACCTCGCATTGTCGGCCCATGTTCATCTTGGAGTCAATAATGACTGCAAGATCACTTTCTGCCTCCATGCTCTCAAGAAGGGAGTTTCCCATCTTTTAAGTGTGCTGCTGGTTACTACTGCCCAAGTGCAGCACCCTGCACTTGTCAGTGTTGAAGCGCATCCTGTTTTTGCTAGCCCACCCCTGTAACCTACCCAAGCCTTGCTGCAGTCTTTCCCTCCCTACTACTGGGCTCACCTCACCCCAAATGTTGGTATCATCAGCAAATTTAAACACGGTGCTTTTCACCCCGTTGTCCAAATCGCTGATAAAGAGATTGAACATAAATAACTTGTCCCCCAATCCTGCACAGAATGACACAAAACCAGTCCCATTGACCTTCCCCTTTAACATTAATCACATTTGTGTTTTTAGAAGATCTTAATATTTATTAGAATGCAGTGACATCTAACACATATCTCTCTTGACTACAGCTCCCATTCAGCCTCTCCTGCCATGGCTGTGTCCTGATCATCAACAACCTGGCAGTTACTACTCTGGCAGAGTTGTGCTATCTTGGAGCTGTCAATGACTCCATTCAAAAGGCTCCAGTAAGCTGTCCTTTACCTGCCACTCACCAACAAGGGGTGTCAGGACCTGACTGACCTGGTAAACAGGGTGACTGTCTCTGCCCATAAATGCTTCAGCATCTTCTCTTTGCTGATGATCCCTTTTCCTGGCAATGACTAGTCTCTGCTTTCCTGTGTCAAGCAGAAGACCTCAAACACAATCAAGAACTCTTCCTCTTGGATCCTGATGGCCTTGGTCAGGATGCCCTCCCACCTTCTAGTGCAATCTTGCATCTTCAGAAACTCTCCCAAACAGAACTACACCACCAGGACCAAACCAAGCTGACCTCCTCACTCACCAGCACTGATACACCCTGTCCCCAGCCAACCACAACTTTCTGCTCCTCTCTCAAGCAGGTCTCCCACTCAGACTCCCCTGTTTGCTAGTTCTGGGATCACTGGCTTTTTCTGCATTCACTGATTTGTCCTTGTGTGTTGGCTTAAGACAGAATGTTGTAGGCAACTCTGAACTTCCAAGCAGTTGTATGGATTTATGTGGTACAAGTCATACGACTCTGACTCTCAGAATTATAACTTTCAGTGTTTGTCCTGGCACTGTAGGTTAGATGACTATTCAGGGAATAAAATTAAAAGCAAGAGGTGACTGATGCTGTGAGCCCCTCAGAAACTGGCAATTAAGGTACTGGCAAAAGTGGACATCAGCCCATCTGTGTTAGAGAAAAAGGACAGATGTTCGTGGAGGCACAGACAATTAGACAATGTTACCAGCTCTCCTAATCTTATCTTAAATCTCATCATATTTGGTGTTTTCCTAAAAACTTAAGCTTAGAAAACTATCAGGTATTGATCAGTCCCCAGAAGGATGAGGAGGCTACATGCTGCAGAACCTAAAGTGGCTGATCATCGTGCAATGCATTTCTTCCTGCTGGAGAACTAGAACAAGATGGGAGGTAGTTAGCCTGTTGTTCCCATAGTCCCACATTCATTTAAAACAGGGGCAGGCAAAATGGCCAATCTGGCTGAAAGCCAGACTCCATTTCCCAGCAGCCCCTGCCCACATGGCTTGGTCCAGTCTCCATGGAGACCCCAGCCACACCTGGGCATGAGAGCTCAGGCTGGGGCTGCCCTGGAGACAAGCCACCATGCTGGCAGCACACACAGCAGAGCAGCACAGGAGGCTGCTCCGGAGCCAATGCCCCAGCTCCTTGCAGCAGTGACAGCCTGGTCTCGTGCTGGGGCAGAGACGCAATCCCCTGCTTCGGTGCCCCAGCATGGCTGCACCTGGTCTCCATGACAAAGCCAGCCTGAATTTTCCTGCCCAGGTGCAGCTGGGGTCTCCATGAAAACCAGCCCAAGCCATGCGGGCAGGGGCAGCTGGGAAATGGAGTCCAGGGCCAACCAGATCCAGCCCGCAAGCCAAACTTTGCCCATCCCTGATTTAAACCTTTGTTGCTCTCTGCCACTATACAAGAGACACCTAGTATTAGGAGGTCATGCACCTAAAGAAGTATAAGGTACAACAATCCTATGCAATGAGGAACAAATACTGCACATGCGCTTTGAAACTAGATCATATTCAGAAACTGATCAATCCCTTTATAGACGGTCACCATGCCCCCCTCAGCCTTCTCTTGTGAAGGCTGAACATGTTCAGGTCCCATAGCCTCTCCTCGTAGGGCCTGCCC